CTGAGGGGAGGGGGGATTTGGGTTTTAAGTAGAGCTGAAATAAATTTGAGATTACAGAGTTTGGATTTGGAACTAGTTTATTCAATATTTACTGTAATACTGCCGGTCAAAAGAATATAAAACGTGTAAGCTTTGTATGTGTAATGGTTTCTTGTGTTATGTTTATTTTTATGATTTTTTGTATTTATATTTTTTGTTTTAAATAAATTTTCTATTTATACTATGTCATTTTTTTTAAAAAATAATAAGTAAGAGAAGTAATAGCTTTTTTATTTGTTCAGTAAAAAAATTCTAAAAGGAGCATAGGAGCATCCCTATTTATCTATTCAAAAAAAAAGAGAAAATAAGTCATGGAAGTGTTTTGAACGTTTGCCTATCTTTCACACTACAGCTCAGGCATATATGTATATTTATGCAACAGCATGTGTTAGCTACTGTATAACATCACTACTGTAGTAGATCTGTTTGTTATTTACAAAAGCTTTTACCGTCAAGTCAAAAATGCAAGAAAAGTATTTATCATTGTCGGCTATGGGCCCTAAATGGCGTGGCGCACCCCCCCCCCCCCGCATTGCGGGGTATGGCGGCACTGTAATTCCGCCCCTGGTCCGCCCCTGGTCCTGGACAGCCTGTACAGTGGACTAGGGCTCTATTTGCATCACTGATCCTATTAACAGTTCAATATAAACAAAAAAAAACGGATAGTTTAGAATTAATTGTGTGTAAAACCTGTAATTGACCTGGATCCCCCACCCAAAGAAAAAAATAAATAAATAAAACATCTGTTTTTTTTTATATATGTATATCAGGATGATCCAATATGTTAGCTAGTTTATTTTGTTGAGCTGGTCTGTAAAGGTTAGAGTATTACCATCCCTAAAATATCTAGATTAGTTGTATTATTTCCTTATATATAACCGTCACGTCTTAAACCTTGTATAAAGTTAGGGAACAGATAGCAGCTGTAATTGAGTTTTGTCCCCTACCATTTGGCCGTTTTTAAGGAAAGTACTCATTCATTAATAAACAAATAGAATCACATTTCTAGTTGGATGAAAGGAATCCTAGATGTTCTGGTGTATGAATACAAAAATGATAGTGGAAGAAAAAAAAAATCTTATTATTGCAAATATTTGTCAGTCTTCAATAACTGATGACGACAATAGTAACATAAAAGCGAATAATCTGCAGTGCAGAAAGACACAGAACATTACAGGTTGGAGCAGAGGCGTAGCGAGGGGGGGGGGGGGCGGGGGGGGGGGACATATGACCCCGGGCGCCGACCTCAGGGGTGGGCCAAATTGAAAGTTAAGGGGGAGGGGGGTGCAAATGAAAAGTTCGAGGGGGGATGCAAATCGAAAGTTTGTGCCCGGGCGCCGGGTAGGGTCGCTACGCCTATGGGTTGGAGGTAGAAATAAAAATCATTCATGTAATCTATGTATTTTAATTTCTCGAGTAACATAAGGTAAATAACCGATAAAATCTTTGGACAGAGCAAGTACACAGAGTTACCTCCTTTATTTTTTTTTAACTTACATATGTTAATTTAAATATTCCCTTTATTCTGCCCTATTGATGTTGTGCTATAATATATTACTTACTTATTTATGAAAACAGCATATATCTAATAAGCCTTAAAGTGTTGTATAAATCTAATGTAACTAAAACGCCATATTCCACAATAAACTCTACAATCAGCCTGATCTGCCTGCTTTTCGACCCCTGGTGGGAGGGAAATTTTGCAGTGGCGCTATTCTACGATACAGTAATGGTGTGATGAAAATAATGTAAACTAGTAAATCGTGGGGACTATGATGGTAATGGTGTGATGAAAATAGTGTGAACTAGTAACTCGTAGGGACTGTGATGTTTATTTTGGCAGATAGAGTGGAAATCGAGACTGTAAACCCTGATCACTGTAGCATACATCAAAATCAAACCAACAGCGTTTGATTTAAAAATGCGTAAAACACGGCTAAAAATGTTTGCCGCTTCTTTTTATTAAACATTAACAAATTATTATCATCTGCTAATTACTGTAGTAATGGCGATAAACCAGCTGTAACTATGAGAAAGCTTGGATTTTTTTTTTTCTCTCAAATATAAAGGCAGTTATTAAATAAGCAGAATAACTCAGCAGACAAGACAAATCGACATTTTGCTTGTAGGCAATTATTAGTCGGGAAGGTTGTTTTAGTAATGTCGTTAGAGTGATAGACAATAATATTTGTAGTTTAGATTAAAGTTATCAGTACATGCTGTGTATTGTACTGTTGCCTGAAAGCGATTTACTAAACGCATAGAGCTTTTCTAATATCTGATGTCATTTCGTGTATATAAACATGTGAAGATTGATTTTTTGGAAAACCTTTTTTTTTTAAATTCTTAGATTAAATATTTATTAATTAAGTACTAAAGTATGAGTAGGTAATAGTTACTTCCCATTTAATTATTTAAAACACATAAGAAAAGTAATCTATATTTTTGTTATTTATAATTTTTTAATTGTATTTTAATAATGATTGGAAAAATGCGGAAGGACTATTCATAAATTGTTTAACAAGTTGGTGCATAACTTTAAAATAATGTAATATTTTATATTTTATATTATTTACATATACCATCCTACCCTTAATTACAAAACGATAACCTTCAAATAATGTAATATTTATTTTGAAGACTTTCAAAACTTCAGCTAAATCGATGCTCTAGTTCACGGATAGGAGTGGAATATTTCTTTCTTATAAAAACCAAAAACAATCTAATGAGGAAAATAATAATTTCATCGAGAAATTTCAACTATTGCAAATACAAAAATAATAGAAATAAGAACGCCTATTCACCTGATACCCTCAGTACTACCATCATGTGCAATATGTTTCATAGTCCTAGATATAACCGCTTTCTTTATTATATTTTTATTATTAACTGTAACAGAATGTATTATTATGTAGTGTGTTTGGTGTGAATCATGTTTGACAGTTGAACACCTTGCCAACGTAAGTGAATTTGTGATCGATCAATCATTGTATTTCATGCGTTTTGAATATCGCTCACTGTCCTATAGTGAAGTGATATAGACGAGATATGTGTGGTTTTATGGCGAGACATATAGACGAGATATGTGTGTTTTTATGGGGAGCAATTTAGACGAGATATGTGTTTTATGGCGAGACGTATAGTCAAGATATGTGTGTTCTAAGGGCGACACGTATAGACGAGATATGTGTGGTTTTATGGCGAGACATATAGACGAGATATGTGTGGTTTTATTGTGATACACATAGACGAGATATGTGTGTTTTTATGGTGATACACATAGACGAGATATGTGTGTTTTTATGGTGATACACATAGACGAGATATGTGTGTTTTTATGGTGATACACATAGACGAGATATGTGTGTTTTTATGCGATACATATAGACAAGATATGTGTGTTTTTATGGCGATACGCATAGACCAGATATGTGTGTTTTTATGGCGATACACATAGACGAGATATGTATGTTGTTATGGCGATACACATAGACGAGATATGTGTGTTTTTATGGCGATACACATAGACGAGATATGTGTGTTTTTATGCGATACATATAGACAAGATATGTGTGTTTTTATGGCGATACACATAGACCAGATATGTGTGTTTTTATGGCGATATGTATAGACGAGATATGTGTGTTTTTTTATGGTGAGACGTATAGACAAGATATGTGTGTTTTTATGGCGATACATATAGACGAGATATGTGTGTTTTTATGGCGATACACATAGACGAGATATGTATGTTTTTATGGCGATATATATAGACGAGATATGTGTGTTTTTTATGGTGAGACGTATAGACGAGATATGTGTGTTTTTATGGCGATACATATAGACGAGATATGTGTGGTTTTATAGTGAGACGTATAGACGAGATATGTGTGTTTTTATGGCGATATATATAGACGAGATATGTGTGTTTTTATGGCAAACGTATAGACAATATATGTGTGTTTTTTATATATTTAAACATATTACATGTTTGACTAATTAATATCTAGCCAAATAAGTAAAACAATAATAGGGTTTACAAAAAAAATGGCGTATGGTGGACTTCATAAGTTCTATTTGAGATGTTTTATTGTAATGTTCTCACTATCAGGCTTAGATACTTCTGTTAACTTCCATTCATGATGTTGACATAACTTGAAGAGGGGCAAGAATCAGGAGTTGGTACGGGTCATCTATAAACGACATCACAATTCTCATCGAGTAGATGCGATTTGATTTCGTTGACGAATTGGGGAGGGGAGAGGGAGACAACAAAATTGTATTTTTAAATTTAGAAACTGAATGTTTGCCATAGCTTCGCGTATTTAGATACTGGTTTTATAATTTGTAATGGCAAGGGATTTACATATGCAATAATGACTGAGTAAACACAGCACGGGCCTGTTGTAGGCAGAGATTCTTCCAGGCCTGTCTTCGGGGGGGGGGGGGGGGGGGAGGGGGGCTCGTCACTTAAATCAATGCTCGAGCATGTGAGGACTGTGTGTTTGGTTTAAATAAATTATCAAGTAAAAAACCTGAAAGTTGTTTAGAGTTGGATCTGTGATGCTCGTGTAAGAAATTGCTGTTTGTTATTGTTTATAGAATAAGTGGGGGGGGGGGGGGGTTAACGTATACATTTTTGGTTGTCTGTGTGATGAACGACAAATGAATGATTGAATAATAAAATGCCGATGGTGGCTTATATATTTTTATTTTTTCCCACTCTTTAGTTCATTATCAACACTGCTTGTTAGTCTTACAATAACTTTATTTACCTTTATTTTGTCAGCAATAAAGAGGTGAGCGTAGGCTTAGCCTCTCAATATGTAAGATACACATACATTAATCAAACAGAGATAAATTATTTTGCTCACGTAGTGGCATATTTCATACTCTCGTTAAAACTAAACAATCATATTTTAGGAAATTATGTATATAATTGTTTCATAATCCGATACAACATGAAGCTGTTGAGGTTTCTAATGAAGCTTATTCATGAAACATTCACCTTAGAGTTGAAAAATAGAACACAAGTTACAGGAGCAGTTACAGGTGTTGATGTATGAAGTCACATTTAAAAGCGGTAAAGTTTACTGTAAAAAAAGGAATCGCAACAGTTGGATTCATTAAGCATTCGTTGTAACAACATACGTTATTTTGTTCTGCCTGAAAGTTTGCCTCTAGAAACTCTGTTATTGATGATGCTCCACGCTCAAAAGCTCGGGGAAAGAGGGAGAGAGGAAAGCCTTGCACTGTGGTAGAAGAAGAGATGGGCCTAGAGGACGAGGCAGGGGTGGGCCAAGAGGTGGTGGGGTGGAGGTGGGGTGGCCGTGGTGGTGGGCCAAGATGTGGAAGGAGGTAAAGCTAGATTATGTAGAAAACCTCTTCCTGTTAAAATATTTCATTCCCCTTAAATATGTAATTAGTTCATGGAAATCAAACAGATGTTTTGTATAGTATTTTTTTTTAGTTATTGTGCTTAATTGTATTTCTTGTACACTGTAATTGGTGAAGAAAAATTTTTAAATTATTAAATGGTTTTTTTTTTTAGTGCACAGTATTTGCACTCTTCATTTTAACACATTCCGACGTTTAATTTCATTCTTAAATACATGTTTGAGATGCATGAACGGTGAATGAATAATTATGGTATTTTGTGACTTTTACAGGAATTTTTTCAGTGTTGTTTAAATACAATTTTGGAATAAAGCACCTGGCTTTAGTCAACTAGAATAATAATGGCTTAATTTACTTTTCTCTTTATATTTCATGAATTATTTAATCATTATATAGTGTAGAGTTTGTGACCTACTTAGGTCGAGTCAGGTTCTATTTTTATTTTGACATTGTATGATACCTTATATGGAGTGATTGTGCAACAACCGGAAAATTTCCACTGACTTATTAAGGGGTCTAAGATATAGAAATTTTCCATTAAGATCTGATTGAATGATTCTAATCAGATGACCATCCCAACCAATGGCTACATGAGTTGAGGATAATCTCCCCTGTTGCAGAAGTCTTTAATTGCCCCGCACACTCGCAACACGAGGCAGTCTACAGGGCAGTTTTACCTTGATCAGGCAGCCGTCCATATTGTCCGGCTATAGACTCTGACCATTTGAACGTGAGAGAACTTAAGTCCTGTGTGTGCCTTGCTTTCTTAAGTTGATTTAGGCTTCTAGTATAATATTACTCGTCGCTGAGTTATTCTAGAAGCTATAGCAGTGTTGTGTGGCCTGTGGCTTTTTTTAGACAGTGTAGAAATCTGTGATAGTGTTTTTCCTCCATTTTGTAAGTTGTGTTTTGATATTTTATACATTAAAAATTTTAACTAGTTCAACCTTGTGTTTTGCCACAACTGTGTTCGCTGATTAAAGTTGTATGTAGATTGGATGAGTGTTAATTACAATAGTATCACTAGTTTACCCTAGACATTGAATTCGAGCCCTAGTGTGCCGTTGTGTTAGTGTTCATCCACTTAGGCCGTAAGGCATTTGCATATGACCCCGAAAAAAGAATCCGGGGACGTTCACCGTCTATTTGGCTGATAGATAGGTGAACGTTACAAAGTGGGGGCCCGTCCGGGATTTAATCTGTCGTTCCAGTTGTTGGTTATACCAGTAAACAATAAGGTTAGTTGGATTTAGTTGTTTTTATATCCAGTAGCGCCGTGTTTTTACAACGCGCGCAAGCATAGAGTTATCTAGGTCAACAGCCAGACGTGTCACGATAGGAGGTCAAGTACACGGCTCAACGCACCGTGTTAAGTTAGTGAACCTAGGCTTGTTGTGATTTGAAAGTTAGTGTTATGGAGTCTTTTTTGGCTAATCCTACTTTTGAAGAGGTCGAGAAGTTGAGTAGAAAAATTTTGATTAGTGTTGTTAAGGAATTGAAATTGGATTATTCTGTTACGCAGAAGTCAGAGGTGTTGAGAGATAAAGTTGTTGTTCATTTTATTAATGAAGGGGTATTTGATGAAAGTTTGTTGGCTGGTGTGTTACTCCGCGAGGAGAAACCTCTAGAGAAGATAGAATTAGAAGCTAGAATTGCTTTAGAGAAGGCATTAAAAGAAAAGGAGTTAGAGGCTAAAATTGCTTTAGATAAGAGGAGGTTGGAATTAGAGTTTGGTCAAGTTAGTGATGTCACTTCTCCGGTAGATCCAAAAAAGTTGTCGGTAGGGCAAGTGATTGCCAAATTTGGGAAATTAGTTCCTAAATTTGATGAAACAGATTTGGTCGTTTTCTTTAACTCATTTGAGAGTTTAGCGAAGACATGTGAATGGCCCGAAACTTCCATTACTGCTTTATTGAGCTCTGTCCTTACTGGGAAAGCTGCAAAAACATACCAGGCACTCTCTCACGACGTTCAAAATAACTATAGTTTGGTCAAGACTGCCATTTTGAAGGCCTACGAACTGACGCCCGAGGCCTATCGGACAAAATTCCGAACACTCCGCAAGTCACCCACTCAATCATATGTGGAATTTCTCTTTGAAAAGGAGAAAATATTCTCAAGGTGGCTACATTCTGAAGAAGTTTCTGAGTTTGAGAAACTCAGGTCTCTTATCCTAAGGGAAGAATTCCTATCGTCCCTGCCTGAAGAGATACGACTACACATACTGGATAACAAGATAATTGACATCCAGAAGGCTGCTGAGTCGGCTGACACATATATGTTGGTGCATAAGAAACCACCAGTGTCAGGAAACCGCCTCAACCCCGTGCTTCCCCTTTTTGGCAGCAATCCTCCTGTTGGCCAACACGTGAAGGCATTACAGTCCAGAGAGAAACCCAGATCAACTCTCAATCGTCGAGCAGTATGCCAGTTCTGCAAAAGACCTGGTCATCTTGTCAAGGACTGTTACAAACGTCGTCAATATAACAGAGAGGTGGTGCGTACTTCCGCGCACTATGCTCTATCCCCTCAAGCAGCCAGTTCAACTATGAACTCTAGAATTCTAAAGGACTCTAACCCTAAGTGTCCTCAAGAAGGTAGTCAAGTCTCCACACATTATGTGCAGTCACATTTTGACTGTTCTCGCCACCATCCAGTTTCTTCCGAGTCTACCGATCTCGAGGGATCGAGAAAAGTTGACTTTTCATCTTTTATTGCCGAAGCCATCATTAGCAAACCAGGTGATCCGTTGTCTCAGCGGAATATCACCGTCCTTAGAGACACAGGAGCGTCACAATCACTCCTTTTGAAAAGTTCAATGGACATTACACCTGAGACGAACACCGGAAGGATTTCCATTATCCAGGGAGTGGGGACAAAATCTACTGTAGTCCCTCTACACAAGTTTGCTCTGAAACATCATCTCGTCGAAGGTGAAGTCATTTTAGGTGTGATAGATAGTATTCCAGTCCCAGGAGTACACCTACTTCTAGGGAATGACCTTGCGGGAAGCAAAGTATACCCCTGTACGGTTTCAGACCCTTTGTCAACAGTTCCAGATAATGATTATGAACTGTATCCTGCATGTGCGGTGACAAGGAGCCAGACCAAACAATTGGCTGACATAACGTCTGAACCACACCCGCCATTATCGTCAAGAAATTCGACTCCCAAATTGGAGTCTATGCTTCCAGAGAACACAAGCCTGGGCTTACCCCTGAGGATATCTCAGGAAGACATCATTAAAGCTCAACAAGTCGACGCGGAACTCAAAGCAACGGTCGGAAAATCTCTATCATCTGACGATGGAGAATATTTCTCCGAGAACGGCCTCTTCTTTCGTCGCGCTATACCAGTGAATGCCTCACCAGCCGAACCATGGTTGGGTAAAAACCAGCTGTGGGTCCCTCCACCTTATCGGCATGAAATACTTAAGCTGGCACATGACCATCCAATGTCAGCGCACCCAGGAGTCTCTAAAACGACGGCGAAGATCAAAGAACTGTTCTTTTGGCCCAAAATGAGGAAAGATGTGTCGCGTTACTGCAGAAGTTGCACGAACTGTCAGTTGGCCGGAAAGCCAAACCAGACAATTCCTAAGGCCCCTTTGAGTCCGATTCCTGTATTAGAAGAACCCTTTTCAAAAATCGTCATGGACTGTGTAGGTCCCTTGCCTAAAACCAAGGCGGGCAACGAGTACCTACTTACCTTTATGTGTTCAAGTACCCGTTTTCCCGAGGCGATTCCCTTACGAAACATCAAGGCAAAGACTGTAGTCAGAGCCATGACCCGGTTCTTCACTACCTTTGGATTACCTAGAATCGTGCAAACAGATCAAGGCAGCAACTTCACCAGTCACCATTTTCAGGAAGCGCTGGCCAAGCTAGGCGTTACCCACATCACCAGCTCAGCCTACCACCCTCAGTCTCAAGGCGTACTTGAGAGGTTCCACCAAACCCTCAAAACCATGCTAAGAACGTTCGCTAACAGTAACACCCAATGGGATGAGTCTGTTCCTTGGATTATTTTCGCCGCGAGGGACTGTGTCCAGGACTCTTTAGGCTACTCTCCTTTTCAACTCGTGTTTGGACATTCTGTCCGTGGTCCCCTGAAGCTGATCCACGAACGTTGGACAGGTACCAGTGATCATCCAGTGGAAAACTTCGACGATTTTCACGTTCGACTGAAAGCCGTGTGCGAAATGGCTCACAAGAACTTAAGAAAGGCCCAAGTGAGAATGAAAGGACTGTATGATAAGAGTTCTTGTAAACGAACATTCCATCCAGGCGACAAAGTTCTTGTGCTAGTGCCTAATCTGAACAATGCGTTATCCTTGAGATATTGTGGACCCTTTACTGTGCATTCAAAATTAAGTGATTTGAACTATGTTGTCAATACGCCCGACAGAAGAAAGAAACAGACAGTGTATCATGTTAACTCACTGAAAAAGTATTATGATAATTGTAACAATTTTCATTCCACAGCTAAAATTACTTTATCTGTATGTTCAAATGTTTCTGATGATGTGATACATGATAAATTGAAACCCCCAAAATTGGTCAATTCTTCCTTTTTAGATAATTTGAATGTCCACCTTATGCATTTGTCCACAGAGAAAAGCTTGAGATTGTCTCAGTTATTTGAGACATTTCCCTCTATTTTTGGGGATGTCCCCAAAGAAGCGAAGGTTCCACCTCATGATGTAGACGTAGGTGACGCAAAACCCATTAAACAGCACCCCTATAGAGTTAACCCGGAAAAAGCTGTTTTGATAAAAGATGAAATTGATTATATGCTCAAGAATGATATCATTGAGCCCAGTTTCAGCAACTGGAGTTCCCCATGTCTCCTAGTACCGAAAGACGGAGGATCTTTCAGGTTTGTGACCGACTTTAGGAAGGTAAATGCGCTCACCAAAGCTGATTCCTATCCATTACCTCGGATAGAGGACGTTATTGATAAAGT